AGAAAGGAGATTTATTCATGGGGGGGTGGGGGGTTGCTTAAACTCAATTCCCACAGTCGCACCCTTCAATTAATAAATTAACAGCAGACTTATTAATAACCAACAAATTAAGCTGATTCCAGGTGGGATTTTGGGGGCTACTTCTTATTTTACCTGGATCTTTTTTTTTTGGGGGGGTGGGGGGAGATGATCCAGAAGCTGCAGGAGAATCTTCAACAAGCCAGGAGATGATGAAGGACATTTAATTTCCATTTTCAGCTCTTTGCAACCACTCAACCCAACATTTTTACTCCTCAACGGTCACCACCTGGACCAAAACCTGGTGCCTTCAGCTGTCAAACTCCCCCCCCTGCACTTTTTCACCTCCCTCAGGACCTAAAAACCCCCAAAACCAACCAAAAAACCACCTGCAGGAAGAGGAGCAACCAACGGGCACGACCAACCCGTGGTAGAAACCGAAAGTTGTCCCATCATCCTTCACCGTCACGACCATGGCTGCCAACAACCCCGCCGTCAATTTCCGTCATGAAGCTTCTTGTTCCATCTGCTTGAGTTTCTTCCAAGATCCTGTCTCCATCCATTGTGGTCATAATTTTTGTCGGGAATGTATCACCCGTTGTTGGGAGGAAGTGGAAGAGATTTTTCCTTGTCCACGATGTCAAGAGACGGCTCCTCAAAGAAACTTGAGACCTAACCGGGAACTAGCCAAGATCATCGAGATAGCCAAGCGGCTCAGCTTGCAGGCAACCAAAGGTGGGGCAGGGGGGGAGAAACTCTGTGAGAAACACCAAGAAGTTCTAAAACTCTTCTGCGAGGAGGAACAAATCCCCATCTGCCTGGTTTGTAGAGAATCTCAAGCTCATCGGGTTCACCCCGTGGTTCCTATCGAGGAGGCGGCGGAGGAGCAGAAGGTGGGAGGTCATCGTGTGTGGTGTTGGGATGAGGGAGGAGGAGGGAATGGGGGGAGGGAGGTGTCCTGGGTCCCATCGAGGAGGCGGCGGAGGAGCAGAAGGTGGGAGGTCATCGTGTGTGGTGTTGGGATGAGGGAGGAGGAGGGAATGGGGTGAGGGAGGTGTCCTGTGGGTTGGGAATGGGGTGAGGGAGGTGTCCTGTGGGTTGGGAATGGGGTGAGGGAGGTATCCTGTGGGTTGGGAATGGGGTGAGGGAGTTGTCCTGTGGGTTGGGAATGGGGTGAAGGAGTTGTCCTGTAGGAGTTGTCCTGTGGGTTGGGAATGGGGTGAGGGAGTTGTCCTGTAGGAGTTGTCCTGTGGGTTGCTCTTAACTCCTGTCCTCTGCTTGTAAACATCTGGATTTCTACCCCTTTCAATCTACTTTCTGCATCCAACCAACCCTACCCTACCTGCTCTGTGCTCCTCCATGCTTACACCTGGTCACCTCAACTGTCTTGAAGTTTCCATCATGATGTCCTCATATAAATCATGCTGGAAAGGAGCCCAGGAGATCATCTGACTCAATAGATGGGATATTGAGAACCATTTCTTCACCAAAAGGGTTGTCAAGCGTTGGAACAGGCTGTCTGGGGAAAGTGGTGGAGCCACCATCTCTTTGAGGGATCTAGAAGATGTGTAGATGTGGTGCTTCAGGATATGGTTTAGTGGTGGTCTTGGCAATATTAGGTTTTAGGTTGGACCTGATGATCTTCAAGGTCTTTTCCAACCAAAACTATTCTATAATTCAACCTTCTTCTGCTGTGTTGTCTCAGACATTTGAGGTGCAGGAGATGCTGCACGTAAGGAACCAGGGAAAAATCTGAGTTTGCAGGAGATAAACCTGAGCAGGTGGGATGAAGGTAGAGAGATGGACCAGCTAAAGGAAGAAAATGCACTGATGAGATGTTTCTTCTCCACTCAGGAGAAATTCCAGGCTCATGTGCAGATCCTGAAGGACAGGAGAGAAAAGCTACTGGGGCTGAAAACAGCTGAGGAAGGGAAAAGCCTGGACTTCCTCGTAAGTGTCCATCCCTGGGTGGTGATGACTTTCTCCTTTACCTTTTGGTTGTCCCTTTAGCCACACTGGTGGGTGTGGAGAGATGAGATCTACCACGGACAAAGATCACATCTCCATGGTCCATTGCACATGTCCTCTCCATTTCAATAAGATCTGGACAGTGGTGACATCTTGTCCCCATGGTAGATGAAAAGAGAGTCCCATTTTCTTGCTCTTCATATGTCTTTGAAGGTTGGGACCATGTGTTGGGTTTGACCAGGTCATTGTTGATCTTCTTCTTCCTCATTTTGGTCACAAGTGGGGCAGATGAATGGAAAAAAAAAATTAAATATAATTTGCATTAATTATTCTTCTGCTCTTCAATGGATCCTGGAATTTATGGTTGGGTGAAAAGTCATCGTGTGAAATCATCTCTCCATGGAGTTCTCCATCATTTCTGTCCCCAGCCCGGTCTCTCCCTTGAGTGAGTTGGTTCTTCTTGTAGGAACGAGTGGAAACGGAGAGGCAGAAGGTTGTGTCTGAAGTCAAGGAGCTGCATCAGTACGTGGAGGGACAGGAACATCTCCTCTTAGATCGGTTGGCCAAGCTGGACCAGGAGATCATGAGAAGACAAGAGGAGAATATCAACAGGATCTTGGAGGATATCTCCTCCATCGATGAGCAGATCCGTGAAGTGGAGGAGAAATGTCAGCAACCAGCGTGTGAATTCCTACAGGTGAGACCTCAGGTTCCTCTGAAGATTATTGTGGCCTTGAAGACCACTGGTTTTTCTTCTAAATGATTTTCTTCAAGGACCATGAACATGGTCCAGCTGTCCACCTGAACCAACCTCAGTCTATTTAAACCACTCTCCATTTAGATGGGTATGAGATTCATCCATCTGATGAACATCTCTACATCCAAAACACTTGACCAAGTCCTTTCCTACTCATCTCATCTTCAGGTAGTCATCCAAACTCATCACCTCAGCCCACCTCCAGGTTCTCCTTAACTCCTGATTTAAAACATTCCAATATGTTGGAGCTGTGGTCCCTCCACGCCCATACTGTAGGGACATGAAAGGTGATGGGCAGTGCCTTGAGTTGCCCGAGGTCACCCCACCATCCTGTGGTAGATGCTTGTTGCTTCTTACCAGGCTGACGTTGCTCTGACCTAATGCTCCTTCTCTTCTCTTTCTCTTGTAGGACAGCAGAAACATCTTGAGCAGGTTTGTGGCTCCTTTCACATGTTCTTGTGATGTTCATGTTGTTTATCTCTACGGTGGAGACACCGATGGACTCTAAAACCTCAGTCATGTATGATCCCCATATGCTAGGGACCATATAGACATGTAGGAGACAACTAGAATCCAGTATGAACTTCCAACCCTATGGCAGCCATCTTGAGGTCCTCTTTGGACATGGATCAAAATGGTGGGTTATTGGAAGGAGAAAACTGGACCAAGAAAGGCATTTTTTTTCTTACCTACCTTTCCCTTGATGATGGTCATGATGGAAGGTCTTTACTACCCAGGGACTCCTCACTGGTGTTTAGGAACAAAATTGATATCAGCTTTGGGTCAACAAATGCTTCTCTGGGAGCTCCTGGATGAGTGTCCTAGGACCAAACCTTCACTCTGGTCCTACTATTATTTATTTCTTGAGAAGAAATCCTCGGAGAAAACCCATCAGTGAGTAATAACAACTATGAGAGAAGGAAGTATGATTAGAAATGTCTTCCTTCTTTCCAGGCTTGAGGAGGATGTCAACCAGAAGCCAGCAGAGACATCATCTGAGCTAGAAGAGAAACCCACCGGTCTTCTTCAGAAAAATATTGCCCTCAAAGAGATGCTGATGAAATTTCAAGGTACAGAGAAACTGGGGAGGAGAAGGGTTGAGGTTGTGCTAGGTCTGTCTGTAGGAGATCTAAGGAAGATCTCAACTAGGGAGGAGAAGTTCTGGTGAAATGCCATGGAGAGATACTTCCAACATGTCCTGTAGAGCTGTAGCCATATTGACATAGCAAGAAGCAATTACTCTGGTTGATTATGTGAGAGAGAGTGAGTTTGCCTCCTAGCAGAGCTTGAGGAACATGAGAAGTGTTGGGTATCTTCATGGAGGGTCAACATCAGCTTTGGAAATCACCTCTCTGAGGTGAGAATTCCCAAAATTTCCACATGAGAACTTAAAAAAAGGAGAAGTCCTGGGACAACAGAGGCTTTGGTTCCTCTTTTCAACAACCTGGAGACACCCAGTAGAAATATCCACACTTCAAAGACTTCTACTCTAGATCAAGTTCTCTTCATGCAGCCATCTTTGTACTCTTCTGACCTTCCTGGTGGGCAGAAAACCATTCCAGCTCTGCTCCAGCAAACAGGCACTGGGAGCTGGAGCATCTCAAGTTGGGAGAAGATGGGGAAAACATGACTCTAATGTCCTTGAGGACCTGTGATGGTAGAATCATAGAATGGTTTGAGTTGGAAGGGAAGTTTGAAGGTCATCTAGTCCAACTCTCCTGCAATAAGCAGGAACATCTTAGAGGTTGACCAGAGAAGCTGTGGTTGCTCCTCCTTGGAAGTGTTCAAGGCCAAGGTTGGATGAGGCTTTGAGCAACCTGACCTAGTAGAAGGTGTCCCTGGTCATGGCAGGGGTGTTGGAACTGGATGAGCTTTAAAATCCCTTCCAACCCAAACCATTCTATGGATCTTCAACTAGATCAGGTGATGCTCATCTATCTTCTCTCTGTCCCCAGTAAGTCTGACACTGGATCCAGAGACGGCCCATCCCCGCCTCGTCCTGTCTGAGGATCGCAAGCGGGTGAGATGGGAAGACACCCGCCAACCCGTCCCCGACAACCCCAAACGCTTCGACTCTTCTCGCTGCGTCCTGGGCTGTGAGGGCTTCAGAACGGGGAGACATTACTGGGAGGTGGTGGTGGGTGATGGAGAAGCTTGGGCTGTTGGGGTGGCCAAAGAGTCGGTGAAGAGGAAAGGACGGATCAGTGTCAACCCCAAGGTGGGGATCTGGGCGGTGGGGCAATGTGGGAGTCAATACCAGGCTCTGACATCTCCTACCATCCCCATCTCCTTGTTGGTTGCCCCCAAGGTGATTGGGATTTACCTGGACTATGAGGAAGGGCGAGTGGCTTTTTTTGACTCCAAAAATGAAGCTCCAATCTTCACCTACCCCCCAACATCCTTTGCCGGGGAGCAAATCCTCCCCCTACTCTGCCTGGGGAGGGGGTGTCAGTTCACACTCTCCCCTTGACCCCAACATCCACTCAAATTCCCTCTCGTTGGAGTTGTGGAGACCATGGTGGTTCATCAACCCAGAGATGGATTTTGGGAGCATGAAGATGGAAAATTCTCTTCTTTTCCCCCATTATTGATATCAACAAGAAGCATCAGTTGGTTCAGAGCTTGTAGAGGAGTGGAGTTGATCTGCTGTCCTCCAGAAAACCTCCAAAAACCTGCAATCCATGCCCATAAACCTCTTCCAAAAACCTCTCCGTTGGAGGACATGGATAGAACTGAGTCAAACATGACCTGAGATGGTTCCCAGTGTCTCTCCCACCACTATCTCCATTCCTCTTGGACCATTTTTTTGTCAAGACCCATTTTTTTTTGGCTCTGTGGCCAAACATAGACACTGTGGACAACAATGCAAAGACCTGGAGAACTTCATGATGGCTTCAAGTTTTAGGTCATTTATGACAAGGTGGTAACAAACTCATCCAAGGGTGAGATAGGCAAGACCTGATCTGGTGGAAGGGTCAAAAGTACCTGCATCTTTAGTGTGAGGTTGAGTTGGATCGATGCTTAATGATCTGTGATGTCCACCAACCTTTAGATGTTGTAAGGTCTCACTTCTCCTTTTGGATGTTGTAAGGTCTCACCTCTCCATATGGAGCTGGTCAGGTGATGGTGTCTCCAAGATCAGTGGAGAACAGTGGTGAATTTTAATTCATCTCATCTAGAAATGTTCATGTAGAGTTTTCACTTCTCTGATCACAAAGGGAACCCACATGGGCATGGAGACACATCTTCTTGTAGATGCCTCCACCCAAGAAAATTCAATCCTTCCCAAAGTAGAGTTGATTTAACTTCTTGAGCAACAACCTTGGGTTGAGCTGTTGCCTTAATGGATGTTTAGAGGCGTAAGGAGGAATCTAGGAGGGGATGGATGGTGCTCATGGCATCACGTCCCAATGGATGGACACCACGTTGTCAGATAATATCCAAACTGATGCCTTCGATCGATGGACAAATAAGAAATTCTCTCCTTTGCAATCTGTTTTTTGTGGTTATTTCATCTCAGCATCTCAAGGGTGGTGAAGAAGAACCTCTGGTGAAGTCCTCCGTTGGGTAGAGCAAAGTCATCTGCTAACGATCACCATCCCTACGTCACGTGACGACGCTTCTGCTTTTAAAACCATTTTAAGATTTAAATTTTAATTTTTAAAATATAATTAGGAGCCCAAATTCGTTTCAGGAGCTTGGCCTGAAGTAGCAGCAGGTGATGGAAGATGTTCTCACCAGCTTCCACACACCCAGGTATATGCAGAACCCTTCTAGATGCTGCCGCACACCCCCTAATTAATTTATTTTGCATATTTGATTTGCATAAGCAGGAGAATTGATGGTGATGGCACTTCTTGTCATGCACCAGTGAGATGACGTGCCCAAGGAGAACAGGTCCAGCATGAACAACCCCAAACTGGTTCCCAGTAAGAAGTTGTGTGGAAGGAGTGGCTTTTGCTTCCTTTCCATCCTAGAAATACCTGGATATGGGTCAATTTGATGGCTGGAAGGTTGGGAGATGTTGTAATTCCTTGAAGGAAAGTCATGGGTTGGGTGATGGGACAACTTTTCTACAGCCATGAGGAGATGGAGGTGGTGGTCGTGGTGAGGAGAGGGGAAAAGGACTGGAAAGAAATGGGAAATAAGTTAAAAATGGTAAGAAATAAGGTAAAAAAGACAAGAAATGAGATAAAAAAAGCCCCATTTGGTGCTGCCTGGATCCACCAAGTGTGTAACGACTTGTGTACGGTCTCCCTGGTGGTCTAGTGGTTAGGATTCGGC